ACGTTAATAAAGAAACGAATTTAAGACCAGAATTATTTTTTCCCCTTCGAGGAATTCCACCGGGAATTCTTCGAATAACATTCGCAGTTTTTCTACCGGCGCATAGACCCTTTTTTATCTCGCGTTTGCTCGCGATTTGCCAGGCGATTTCGTGTCACGCCGATTTCGCATGACATTCCGTTCGGCACGTGGGTCGCCTCGCGATGACCCACGCGCGTTAAACCGTACAGAAGAAAAAGAAGAAGACTAGGACGAAACCGGAGGGGGGACTTCTCGTTTCCGTTCCGAGCAGCTTGCGCAATTTTTCGATTAATTTTGGACCGGGGGAACGCGACAGCTGCTACAAATAATAATAACAATAATAAGAGCACGTGATCGATAGTTTAGATCTTCTGAAATTAACGGTCTGAACCAGATTTCGCTCGTGGCTCGTGTTTCCGAGAAAATATGAGTTCCCCGAATATAACAGCTTGAAAATAAAAGAAAAACAGACGAAAACCTGAGATTGTGGATCGTAACATGGATAAAGAACACACGAGGTTCCTTGTGTTTCGAACATCAGGTGATATTCGAAATTACATAAACAACTGTTAACGCGATTTTCCGAGGCTGGCTGATGGAACCAGCCGCGTTGTATAAACAACGGCGTGAAAGGAGTGTACGTGTGGGCCGCGTTTCCAACTTGGTATCATAATGGCGCGATGGCGAAAGGTATATAGACGGGCGAGGAATTAGAATCACGGGCGGCACGAAATTCCACTCCGGTTCTTTTTCCACCAGCCGACAAATGGAAATGAGGAGAGGGATAGAAAGAAGCTAAGAACGGATCGCCAAGCTTCGGCGAAGACCGTGAGAAAACGACCTCTCGTACCGTAGTTAGTTTCCTCGCTCACCCCGTTCGCGTCTCTCGACACGTTTTTAATATCTAATCTTCCTCTTTCCTTTTATTTACATAACGCGAGATAGCTTCTATTTGCTTGGCATCGTCCTAACATTTTTAGAATCGTTTCATTTCATGTCAATCTGTTATTTCATTTAGTTTCATACTCATTTGAGAGATCCTCTTCGGTGAATAACGTTGCAAAAATGGGCGGCACCAGAGTGGCCGTTTCGAAATTCAGAAAGTGGAATTCTGAAACCTGGCTTCCGTGTTGCAAGGCTAGACTACTTTCAGCTCTTTGTCTGCACGTGTGTACGTTTCATCGACTACAGGCTTTGCAGCCAAGTGATTAGAGTGCAATTTGCCGAGTTCAATTGTCAGCTAAACAATCCTGTTCAGTGCCCTGGGATCGGCCGGGCGCACAGTCACAGAATGCGATAGTAGTTCAGAAGAACGACGGTAATTCAATAAATAACACGGAACGAGGACTCTTCAATAAATTCATTGAATTGTAGACTGGTAATAAATTCCATTCCTTAAAGGAAATGCTCATTTACAGGAAAGGAAACTATTTTTGAAGTTTTACTACCTGAACCTCTTCATACAACCCTTATTTCCCCAAGTTACCGGCTAAATCCCGATTATCCTGCAATTAACCCAACCGTGCCCCCACAGTTTTGTTCCTAACTGTACCGTTCGCAGGAGGAATTACCTCTTGCCAACGAGACTCGACCTAATCCCCACCCTGACCATAGAAAGGATCAAAGAACAGCGGTCGAAGCCTCTGCACTTCATCGACTTGAGCAAATCGCATCGTTCGCCAACACACAATATAATAATTCCAACTCTCTGTGTGCAAAGAGCAGCATCCTGTTCGAGAAGATGCTTTCAACAATTAATCATATACATCTTCTACCTATTAATTCTAGTCTCGATATCTGACTCTCAAAGCTTAAGGATGTATAGGCTTTTTGTAACCATCATCCTTAAGGTGCATGGAACGAAGGAATTCTAATACTGCCGATGGGTCCACGGTTAGTAAAACGGCGAATGCCCTGAATCCTCGACAGATAGATACGCAATACCATTCGTACAGAATTTATCCAGCATCGACCGGAAGGGTTTGATTGATGGTTTGCTCATTAACGAGCGGTGCGGATAGAAGCGGCGGCAGCGGGAAAGGCTACCTAGTTGTCCACGGCTCTGGAATAATGATCGTCCTGGAAGGACGGGGGAGCCGCGACAAATTATCGTGTACGCGACAACGATGATACTATACTCAGAGGCCCGTGGCCTGCACGCCAGGTTCATTAGAAAATGCGTGCGTACCGCCGTGCATTACAGCCGATTCCCCGTTCGACTCCTTTCTCATCGTACCTATGCACGAGCCACCACTTTCGCCCGTTTTACAATGTAACGAGTGCCAGGGTACAGACGGTAGATACCTGCTGAGAAAATTCCCGTAATCTCGAGGCAAAGTCTTTTCCTACCAGCTACGAGCACTCTTCTCGAGGACGTTTAATAAACCTAACATCGATCTACTATTAAAACTAACCATTAACGGAATCTCAGGATTATATCGGCCAGCTGACTTCGCAAGAAGTTCATTCTTTCTTACAAGCTGGTTTCACTTACAATTTCACCCGGAACGTTAAGAACGAACCCAAGCATTCAGTCATTTTTATTATTCAGCGTTTATAAAGAACGTAGAGTGTATCTGGACCGGAAACTAAATTAAGTGTATTACAAGCATTGCACTCTGAACTCGCGAAAGAGTCTGGGAAACGTGAACTTTCTACATATATGCTCCGATCCTGAACAACGAAATCCTTGGAACTTTCACGGACAGCCTTGAATTTAAATGGCTGAACTTTTGTGTGTCAGGAAATATCGACTCCCGTTTGCGTGCGAAAATTAATTACTGTATCCTTTCTTCTACTTGTTAGACTCCTGCCAGTCCGATCAAACATTTCCTGCCTTTAAAAGCAACGATACATCTTCGGTGGACGAAGAAAAAAAACAGCGAACGAGCTTTGTGCAGCTGTAGAAACGGTGGGAGCCTCGGGAAAGGAAATGTAAAAGTAATTTTGGCCGTCGTTTTACGCGTGTGCACCTACCTACATCCTGGTGGTCACGGCGTCGAAAAAGAGCAGGATGATGACGTCAGAGTAAAGAAACGACATGTCCCGGTCTGTACGCGATATGCGTGTACGTACACGCGCGCAGGTGTATTATCCCGGCAGTGGGCAAGAGTACAAAGCTGGTAACGAGTGGTATCTCGACTGATAATTACGGAAGGGGCTCGAGCGAACTTCCGCTCAATAAAACCTACCCGGTGAACGGCGGGCGTTGTGATGCACCCATGCTGTACGCGTCCACCTGACAAACAAAGGGCCACGTTTTCTCGAAACCTGTACAGAGAACCGAGCATTCGCCGCCACGCGTTCAAATCACCGTCCACGACATTCGCGTGTTAGTCAAGTTAAATAAGACAGCGAGGATTCAATGGAATTAAAACAGACCGCAGGATGTGCAATTGCCGAGGTCTCTCAGAACTCGCGCGCTTCTACAGTCTGCTGTAACTGTAATTTTCTACGGCCATAACTATTTACAATGTTATATTACTCTAATTACTTGAACATATATAATCACCTAATCAGCTGCAATGAAAAGGAGTTTGTTGCTAAGGAAAACGACTTTGGAAATGTTTCACCCTGCCTCCTATTTCGAAAACGAAAATACATTTTATAAACTGTTCTCGTAGTTTCCAATAAACGATACGTATCATTCGTAATTAATTAAAATATATGACGGCGAAGAGATCAGAGTGCAACGAACTGCGTTTCGATGAACGCGTTGAATGGCGAATGAGTCACCGGAAATTCACAATATTTAGTAGAAGTAAAACTTTCATTAGCCAGGAAAGCACATATAGCAGTTTTGCGTTCTACGAGAGTACAGCTAAATAATTAAACACGATTGCTGTTTTCCCATAATTGTAGATAATTGTAGCTACGGTACAAGTTCTCGCGTTCTACAAGTACACTTGTGAGGTCCCTCTCGTTCCACACGACATTGACCGTGTTAAAACTAGCTTGGGTCACTATTATCAATCAAACTAGTTTAGCTGGTCAATTACCCAGAATTAATTACACATGTAAAACCACCCGAAAAACTTGAATTATAACGGGATTTTCAATCAGCAAATTCAGGAAACGGAATGTGGCAAAAGTTCAAGTACTGAGTACACGATAGAAGCCAAGAAATTGAAGTACCCTGATTATAAATCGAACTCTTAATACAGAATGGCCAGGAGTACTTCTTGATTCTCTCGACGATATCTGAAGTATTCCCGGAATTATGTAAGCTCCGGGACGATAATAACCAGGGGAATTCGGTAGCGACGATTCTCGGAAAATTCGGACAACGGTATAAAACAGAAGTGTCAAAATAACTGAACTGACCTGAGTGGCACTCGGTCAGGAAACGTTCAAGCAAGCTAGACGAGACCGGTTTATTTTCAGTATTCGCAATGGTATCGTTTCCAGTTGGCCGCGGTCTCTGTTTTCGAGCGCCGACAAAACGATTCACGGTTTCGGAATTGTTTCACGGAAACAATCGAAACGGAACAACATCTGCGAAACAGCACGACTAAAAACTCGTAGCCGGCAAGTTGGAAAAACATGCACTTGCTGCGCGCCCGAATCGAGGCGTTAATACGAAACTAATTCGATCGTACATAAACGCGCCGACACGAGATTTCTCGAATCGTTTACGGATCAACAATTTTTATGTAATTTCACAGTTTCCATAAATAATTATTTCGTAATCCAAACGATTTCTCGGTTTGCATTTATATATATATCAATAATTGCAGAATTATCGTTGCGATTCGATTGTTATCGTTAGGAAAGGAATATATGGTCAATGAACCGGCGTGCAGAATGTGATCTTTTTCACCATACAGATTCTATACATTTATGTGGAAATTGAACGGAGAAACAGTATAAAGAATACAAGTGATCCACAAAAATGTATAAAACCCCAAACGCAAAATGCACACTGCAATAAGCTTCTAGTTTTACACTACTAAAAATTTCTTTAATAAAAGATGACTTACTTTGCGAAGCTTCTCCACTTCGTTCGGATCCGTGAAGGGCTGGATTGCCTGCATAACAAGAAACACAACACCGTTGAGAACTCCGATGAAAAATCAAATCACGCATCTCAATATACGATTTACGTATATTAACTTGAAACACGATTACTGCTATTAGAGTAAGTGACAAAGTTTGTGACAAATAATCGATACAAGACAGAATTTATGTAACAAATGAAACTCAATATCGCCATACTAGAACCCGTAGGACCACGCATATCGTAATGCTTCATCGTATAAATAATCTGTATTCACCGGCGTTAAATAAAGCGTCTCTTGAAACAATGTAAAAACGACGTTTACCGTCATCTTCCAGACGTTATCCTCGTCGAGATCGTTGCCGGCAGTGGAGCCGGTTGTCTTGTCGTCGAGATTCATCAGTGAGAAGAAATTGTTGTTGTTCCCGTTCAGTCCGTCGTCCTCGACGATGGTGTTATCGAGGAGCTCGTAATCCAACGACTTCGAATCACGGCAATTGGTCACGAATGTACGCGCGAAGCTGCTCTTGAAAAAATGTTCCATCGACACCTCGTTACCAAGTGCGAATTTCACTGTAGGGGAATCGCCCATAATCGCGAGACAAACCTGCTACTACTCGTTAATGTTCACAAACAGAACCGGCCTCGTTCTTCCGACGCGTGTCGAGGTTGTTTACCGGTACGAGACGACAAGATCACAACTTTTCGTACATCCCGCGAGCGGCATCGACGGTCACCGTTTGTCGATTCTACGGATCTTTATTATACTCGCGATTCTCGTTTGTTTTCCACGGCCGCGTCGTTCTGTGTTCCGGCATCAATGAGCGTACGCTCCGCGTCGCGCGTAATTAAAAGTCGTAACGGTAAGATGTATCGAGCATCGCGGTGTCGGTGGTTAAACAAGAATCAGCTCACAGAAGAACTATGGACCATGGGAAAACCGTAATATTTCCCAGGTCCGAAGTGCACTCCACGCTCTTTCGTGTCAAACTGACAACACGGACGGATTGCACGAGAGCACGAGCTGAATTCGAAGTCGAAGCACCATAGACAATGAATGGATAGAGAGCGCAGCGAATGCGGCGAACATGGCGGCCAACATGATGGCACCGACACGATGGCTGCCAACATAAAGGCTGCAAATATTCGGTTTTACCGATTTAATAATTTCAATTTTCTTCAATGAAAATTATAATGATAAATGTTGTTGGATATTCATCGAGAGATATCTAACATAAATATACGTAGAATGTAATACATGGATGTTCATATAGAAAAATGTAATCTACTCTCGTAATAGTACCGAACTGTTCTATAATTAAACGAAACGACGTTTTGACTAAAATCCATTAAACAATATTAATTTAAATAGGAGCAGTACGTTCTACATTCTCCGACAGTGATCTCCGAGATTGTTAATCGAATACAGAATAAAGATAAATAATTCCCAGTCTAACTATTCCTAAATGTGCTCTGATGTGGTTTCGACATTAACCTCGTGTGATAAACAATCTCGCGTTGCTGCACCTGTGACTCTGACTTGCAAAAGAGAAACATATTAACGAAGAAATGCCACGGTTACCGTTACATCCGTCATCGGGAACTGGTCAGATCAGTGCCTTTCGTAAATCAATACGATTTGCTCGTTATGGATGTGCAAACCGACCATTCTATCACATCGTTGTCATGGACGTAAGTTCCTTCAAATACTATTTAATTACGATCAGAATCGTACGGAATCTCTGACAATTAAATATCGCTGTGTAGATAATTATTCGTTTGTGTAATCACTATGTATTTATTCATGAAATTATGATTTCGTTTCAGCTGAAACTTAACCAGCATAAACCTCCTATAGAACAATTGGGCACTTATGATCCTTTGCCCAATAAGTACAATGAAAAATTAATTTCGTTGAATTTAGAACGCCTACAATATTGGTTGGGACAAAAACCAGCGATATCTAAACCAGTTGCTAATCTACTAGGGCTCGCTGGCTTTTTTCCAATTCACCCACAGACATACATGACTGCATGGAGAAACCGAAGGGCACAAGACGAAGCAAGTAAAACTACAGAGCCTGAAAGTGACACAAAAGCAGAAGCTGCTGGCTAACAAGCTTCAGCTATTTTATTTTTGTTCTGTCCTTAGTTTGTAATCGATAACGCTTCTACACTCGAATAAAATTGTTACTGAAAATAGAAAAACAATTGGTTCGATGTTATATTGATACAAAAATGAAGTAGGATCGTTTGTATTATATTCGGAAAGTATTGAATATGAAAAATGTAAATAAAAAAAAAATTTCCCCAGGTGAGGCTCGAACTCACAACCCCGGCATTGCTCACAGATTTACTGTCTTATAAGTACCGTGCGCTAACCGATTGCGCCACTGGGGAGTTGTACTGTGCAATTTCTTATTCATATATATATAGGAAACAGACAAATACATTATTAAAATCAAATAATTACAGTTTAATGTGTAATTATAATAGTCTTTATACATGGGATTAAGAACTTTTGAGAAAGGTTTATGACGATGACGCGATAAATGTATCAAAAGTATTCGTTATATTTCTCGAGTATACAAATAATAATTATGAAATTAAGTCAAGCTTTTCAGGGAAATGATTTAAGATGATCCAGTATTGACTTGTTCCTCACTTTCATACAAGTCGATAGCAAAACAAAGCTTACTCCATGAATCTGTAAGTTCCTCTTTTGTTGTGTTCTTCCGAACAAAGTTTGCCAACAAAACATTGTTCCTCTCTGCGAACTCCGTCTCTGAAGACAATTTAGAGATATGAACTGTTTCGCACACTCTATCATGCTTAGATTTATTACCTGTGACATCTATATTAAAATGATTTTCTAACTGCCAACACCGTTTTGTAAACGCTATTACCCATTGGCAAGTCAAGTATTCACGTGCAATGCTTCTCGGCGAATGCACGTGTATTAAAATACCACCGTGCTTATCTAAACATTCTTCGTAGCTTATATAATTTGTATCTTTTAACTTATTTAACAATCTTCTCCTGACGAGGTTTCGTTCATTGTATTGAAATATTCCTGAGAAACACAGATGTCTGATTAGAATCATGCTGTTATTATATGAAAAGCATTATACAGTTACCTGATGTGAGGAGTGAGAAATTTTTCTTTCTAATAACGAATTTATACCATGAATCAACTTCAAACATGTAGCACTGGTGAAGATCTTTGAAGTTACAAGCTAAATCACACACCTCTGATTTATCATCACACTGGAATAAGGTAACTAATATGAATAGTTTCCCTTCGAATAAAATACTTTGTTTCCTATACCTCCAGTTTTACTATTAACTCTACGTCCACGTTCAAACTCTCTGATATCAATGAAGTTGTGTACTTGTAAATATTATCGTGTATCCACTTCCTATCAATATTTTTGAATGCTATCCCAGAGACTTCCTTCGAGCAAACAGATAATTTATTATATTCTTCTGGTAACTTCTCCTTCACACTCTTTGTAACATTTGATTCCCTACAATGAGAAATGGCAAATGACAGTATTAATAAAGCGTAAGATTACAAGTAGCAGATGCAAGTATATGATATTACTTGATTTTTATAACTTTCTGGTTCTCTTCTTGATCTTTCAACTTTGTGAGTAATTTTGATGCTTTTTCAACGAGTTGTGTTTTCAGCTCTTTTAATTCCTTCAATTCTTGATCCTCCATCGTAAATTGAAAATATTTCTAATTATTAGAACGACGTTTGTATATTTAACTCTTCGAATCAACGATTTACTTATTCTTCGACAGATACAAGTTTAATAAAACTCTGCAAAACTATTTCTATTATCGCGCGCGAAAGAACGTAAATATATCGCAGATGTTTGCATTCGTCACTGACGGTAAACCGTTAGTTTGTATTTAACTCATACTTATGACACGAAGAGGCTAACCTAAAAGCTTCATACACATTCGTATTTCTTGTACGAATAAATCGCTTGTAATTTTTGAGTTTTACATTAACTCCTAGCACAGTGACGATTCATTTTATACATCTCGTAGAAATTACAAAAATAATAAATTTATTCTACAATTAAAAGTCAGATACATGATCATTCTCAACGAACAATAATGTGGAGTTATTAAGGATATCACAGATATTTGAAGATCTAAGGCATAGAAGCACTGAAAAGAGTGCCACTTAAATATATCCACGAAATGGACGACGAAACGTTGAACAGGTAAGTAATTAATTTTTTCGTTCGTGTATTTCATACAAAGTGATGAATATTCATTCTAGACTTGCAGTGGAAGCTTTATTGGAAGAGGCAAAGCTTGGAGCTAAGAGGGCAGAGATAATGGGCCCCAGTGGATGGATAAAACCAAAGGAATCTGTTAACAAAAGATTCCTTCACTCGACATTGCGCAATGTGGTTCTATCGAACAAATACCAGTTGAAGAGAAGGAACGAAAGACAGTTGCATAAAGCCAAAGATGCATTAAAATAATTAAGCGTTGTGTGAAACGAAAGCTTATATGTATTTGTTTTGCAATATGTATCATATTCCTTAATGCTTCTGTAACTATAATAACGTGATTATTACATAGTATTATTTATGTTTTATTTGTATGTTACGGATGAAATCATCCTCTGTATATGAATTTTATTAGGAGATGTAATGTAAAATGATAAGAGTTTAATTACGAGTCTGCAACTATTGAAATATACTAAAAATTGTAATTAATGCAAAAAGGATTTAGTGTTATTTTCCACAGCGATGCCCCCTTTTCATCCGTAGAAGCATATTAATGAATAAAAATTACTTGAATATATTTTGATGACACATATTAGATCAATAATTAGGCAACCGAAGTTATGCTATTTTCGAATGAAAAGAACTGTCCCAGTCCCAAGTGCTAGTCTCGTATATTTTAAAGTGTATATATTGTGTAATCGAAAAGTACTCTCGCAAAGCGTAAGGATATTCATGTCGTGGCGGATTAAGTAAAAAAAAATAAAACAATTTAATAATTAAATTATAACATACTCAGCAGCGATAAAAATGCGTTCACCGAAATTTAATTGTTTCATTTATCTGAGTCGTAGAATATAATTGGAAACCACGTGGTTTTCGTTACCGCTTCCGGCTATGAGAATCTCTCCTATTCTACATGCGTGTGGGGAACGGTTCCGAGTACAGTGGGTTATACGCTTTCTCGATCGCAAAGAAATAATTTAAGTAAAACGTAACAGAGATCGACCATATCGTACAATAATGGCAATCAACGTAAGGAGACTTTGCAGACTCAATCTCAACCTGTCAAATAATATACTTTCCAAGTCTAATTTTATAAATGGTATGTAATCTTAACCTGGAGTTGTACTGTGTAAATCGAATTCCGCGTAATACATTTGAATACCATTGTAACGTGACTGAACGGACACAAATATAAGCCTTCGAATCATACGAAGATTAATTTTGATTAACGTGTTCGTTTCTCGATGTTTTAGTTGGGGTCCGCTCTCTCTACTCGGAGCAAGACCTGGGTGTACCATTGTACGAAAATGCGAGATACATATTTCGTAATCAGTTCATGACGATCGAAGACACGTTCCGCTCGAAAATGAAGGAGATCTGCGAGAAAGAGGATGGAGTTATATATACGGAAGATTTAAAAGCCATGCTGCACTTAGTACATGAAAACGACGAAGATATGAAGCTGTTGAGTAAAATGTTAGAGAAATACGTTAGGACAAAGGAAGAGAGGAAAATCACTGTGTATGCGTTTGGGCCAGTGGTAATGAGGATGTTTTACTATTTGGACCAACCGCAGAGAGCTCTGGCTATGTTTGAAAATAATGAGCTTTCTGAGCACTTTGACTATCGCACGTCTTTCCGTATTTTAATGTGCCTCTTGTATAAACACAATATGTTCAAAGAAATGAGGGACGTGTATGATAAAATATTGCTCAACAAAGGTATGGACTTTATTGGAAACAACTCTGTTCTGATGTATGCTGGATGTGTGAAAGAGGTAACGATTCTCTTATCAATTTCATGGAATAAGTTCATATACATTTACAAGTTAATTAGTGTTTTGACAATCTCGTTTCTATTAGAACACTCCGGAGGCATTGGATTATGCATTGAAACAGTGGAAAGACCAGTACGATACTGTGAAACCTTCGCTGAGAAGTTCTAGCTTAGTGGCGTTATTAGCACTAAAAAATAATGCGTCTGAAGTGGCAGCGGAAATTTTGTCTGTAACCGATAGAGAAACAGCAATAAGCATTAGATGCTTGAAAATGTTGACATATATGAGTTTGCAGAAATATGTGCAAATAATCCCACTTTTGAAATGTGCCGTAGAGTCCGACACTTCCGTTCGGCAACAGAAATTCTTCGCCGACGTGGTACTTACTAATGATACTGAACTTACTCATTATACATCACAAAAGTATTCGGAGCGAATGAGTAATTAAGATTTTCTTTGTGCATCGTAGATATACGAACTGGAGGAAAAACTCAAGTCAGAGACTGTACCAGAACGTGAGGAAATTCTTCACTTGATAGATGATTTGAAGAAAGGTGATCTCCTTGAGATGCACGTGAGTATCAGAGGAAACGAATCAGTGATCATGCCTAGCTTCGTATTTAACAAACGACTCTATTTAATAATTTCTAGTGTACCTTGGAGGAGTTCTTGCTCAGACCTATGTCCATCCCTAAGCAGACATTGGGCAGGAATAGAATGAAGTTTGCCTCTTCGAACAATCAGCCGAAACAGGCTGCGGCTGGGTTGAAGAATTACTTTTAATGCATTTTTTTCTACAGACTCGTTAACGAATTACCATCGTTTTTGTTAATATTAAAATATTACAAAAACTTGTACTTCCGATCGGTACTATAGTCGTATTGTATTATTGTTCGTGAGCGAATCGTTTACTTTGTACGTAATAGTAATTGTATTAAAGACACGAAATAAGAGCTTTAAAGGAGAGTATACACAGTCGAATGTGTTTTCTTTATATGTATACTGATTTATTTCATCGCTCCTGATGTTTTTAAGCAATGGAAGGTTTCATTATTCCTCAACATTGTTTAAATATTCTAGACAGAAAATACATACATGTACTTTGAATGAACGTCTTTTTCATTTCCACCCGTTGCGATCCTCTAGACCTCAAAAATCGATTATTGATTCGTGTAATCGAAGGAAGGCAGTTTTTCAAAACTGTATTGGTACAAATTCCGCGAGAAGAAAAAGGACGAGAGAAGAACTTGGAATCCTGATTAGGACAATACGATATGTCGATCGACGCGGTGACAGACGTCGAGAATCGCGATATTTGCGAGCACCTTTGCAAGCAGCAGAAGCTCGAAGTCGATAGGTGGGACACGGTTAAGCGAGAATTAGTTGCGCTTGCGGTGGCAACTGTACCGAAGGAGAAGGAAGAAAAGGACGACGATGCATAGCGGGGTGAACGTATATATACGGGGTGCACGGGGCAAAGAGTCCGGGGAAAATTCGAATGACGTCATGTTGCTAAAGCGACGCGGCAACGCTAAGCGTCTGCGTGGGTCGGCGGGTGTCTGGGCCAGGATCAATAGCGTGCCAGCAATCAGGTAGTAGGTGTGAGTGTATGTAGGTTTCTGAACGGTGGCAGTCCAGGAGACGAACCTTCCGAGGTAGGACACTTGACGAGTCGAGTACAGTTCCAGTGTCGAACCGGAGAGCGCTATGCCAGTAACACCGCACCACGGAACCCTTATTGCCTAGGATAATCAGCTTCTCCAGGTGAGCCGCATTTACCGCGTTTCTTCGAGCCGCCGTAAGCCGCTTTCGCGTCGGATTAACACCGGGTAACGACAATGTTCGGATGGTGTTGCGTGCGGACGATGATCGAGGGCCACCACCCACGGTCAAACGTTCGAAACACGATTCCGCCGTACTCCGTGCGCAACAACTATCCTGATCGTTACCCGGTTGTTATTGCGATTTCGATAACGTAGATCGCAGCTGTAAACGGGACAGGACTCTAATTTCCGGAGGTCCTGCTCACGGAGGGCAGCGAGCCTCGGAACGAAACGTAATCGATAGTAAAATCGGCGAGCGGAGTCTCGGGCAATCGGGCTAGTAGTATAGATCAACGGAAGGGCTGCCAGTAGGAAAATGGAAATATGGACAGTGGCAGATAGACCAGCGAAATGAGATAGAGCTCGCGGGGGGATCTGTGTACATAACACAGACGTGGATTCTTTGAATTCACGACGACAATTGGTCATCCCGTTTCAATATCGTTAAAATACGCAGGAGCTCGCTAATTTTTTTACCGCGGAACGCTAACGACCGCGGCGGTCGTTACCGTCAGCTATCTCGCTCGGGTCTCTACCCGGAGATGACGCGCTGATTGATAGCAAAAAATTACACCATTACGCGGTCGTGATTTGAAAATAGAAGATTGCGCGATAGGTGGGGACGGAATTTTACTTAGTTATTCCTTTTTATCGCTGTGCAGCCCGGAGGAACAGGAGGATGAGGAGCCGGATAAGAAGTCGAGCGTATTTTACTTGATTAAAATTAACGGCAGATGGAGGTGTTTAGCCGCGGAGGGGAAGCAATTACTTAAAAACACGTCCGGGTACCCATCGAGGATTTGTTTGATAAAGAAATTTATTCACCCTCTTCCTTAAGCGCTCTCGAGAAACAGAAATACAAACACGTTTCGCGTGTATATATCTATACTCTCTGTCTCTATCGTATACATACTTGTATATATCTACATTCTGATATATACATATACGTATATACGTATACATATGTATATAGATGTACACCGATGCTGACCTAATTCGTACGCCGTACCGTTCGCAGCAATCATTTGCCTTTCGCGTATCCTGTTGTCGCTTTCAACTTGTCCCGCGATTTGCGTAATTAAATGGAACGCGCGATACATCGCATTATTCAATCGAGCGTTCCATTTACTCTCCTCGAGGAATCGAAGTACGTAACAACGTGAGACAATATTCGAGATTGCATCGAATTCGTTAATTCGACGAATTTTCCGAACGATATTTTAATTACAAGTGGCCAATCCCTCTTCCCGCCGTTTCCGCCTTCTCACGGTTTTTTTATTATTATTTAATCAAGAGCCGCCACTCAACTGCTTCGCTACTTTTAATATTTATAACGAAAACTAATTACGACGTTAATTAGGCCTCGGGATATTATCGAAGGGATCGCAGAACGCGCGGACCAAACTGCTTATTCGGAAGAGTTGGAATTTTTTTTTCTCGTGGACAATCAAACATTGGTTTTAATTAACGGAGAAGAAGCGCTAGCACGGAACGAACCATTTTCAAAGACCGCGTTCGTTGCACTTTTAGAGGAATTGAAATTTCCGGTCGAGGTAAGTATCAATTAACGATTTAATTGTTAAGCGTATTACGGTTGGTATTTACGGCAGTAATAAGATCAAAGTTCAAAACGGCAACGTTTAATTAACGCATTTGAAAATGTCTTGCCTCTGTCGAGTTGCGCGATCGTTTCTAAATATATCCGTTCCCCGTTAACAGGCTTCGTTCGCAATTTCGACTCGCGACTCTGAGGCCGAACAATAGATTAAAATGATTCACGTTGCCGGAACGCGTACGTCGCTTCCCCTTCGACGAGCCTCGTTCCGATGATAAATAATTAAAACGCGATTTCACGCGTGGTTTAGCAGCGAAAAAACACGAGGCGAGGGCCAGGGAGGCGAGCAAAACAATATGGGACAATGGAGAGGGGCTGCCGTGAAAAAAAGCCAGGGTGCTTTAATGTATGGTCACTCACACTTTTCAGTAGAGTAGGTCAGCGTGCGGTCAGACGCTCGCTGAGTAGAATAGGTCTGCGCATCGCCAGACAACGTCGAATTCGTGCGAATATCGAACAGCGCGCGTTTCGTTTCTTTGTACCATCTCTCACCCGAAGAACGACCAATTAATAAACCATTGCAGAACTTATGTAAATATTTCTATCAACAGCGAGGTATAAGAAACGTAAAAAAATTCCCAACGTGACTCGTCACAATGCTTTGGAATTCTTTCCCATGAGACTTATTTAAACGATCGTCGGTTTATAGAAATATCTAACGTTTGTTCATCACGTTCGCACCGTAACACGTGTCACAAACAGACGCCGTTGGTCGTACTTCAAATCAGATAAATTACTCGGGTTCTGTACCTCGCGCAATTGACTTGATTCGAGTCGAGCGTTGACGAGGCGAGACAAGGCGAGGCGAGCGACGCAAGTTTCCCTCGACCAGAGTGTACCGCCTGCATTACGTTCATTATTAACCGGTCCATTCAATTCTGTGTTACAGGCTGCCGCAATGTGGCCTGGAGTGTTGAAGTTGTTGGCGTTACTAACAATCTTAATACATCCAAGGTACGTTCTCACATTTGAAAGCGAGATACTTGAGAAACAGATTAAACGTTCGATGGAGTTGTGATCAAATTTTCGAGCAGTACGAATCGAATTCTTGACTCACAAGAATGAATGACCGCTTGTCATTCAAAACGATTTACTCGGACACAATTTAAAACGTTCTTTTCATCTTTGATTGCAGTTGGCAGGAAGCGGTCAACTATCGGGAGAAGGAGAAGCAGGTGTTGGATCAGATTTTAGGGCACCCAGGAGGGTACGACGCGCGTATCCGGCCCAGCGGAGAAAACAGAACAGGTGAATATACGGATTATTCTTATTTTACGTCCATTACTCTTTCCAGTCTCCCTTTACCGAAATCGACCGATTATGCAAATATTGTCGTAAGAAATTGTCGGGTACTTATTACGGAGACAATCGAGCCTCGAGCTTAGCTCGATAAACCTCCGATACGAAACGACGGCGAATCGTCGTCGCGCCGTGCCGACAAAACAATTATACGAGTTTCTTTACACTCTGCACAAAATCGGATTGAAATTCTCCCGAATGGATATAATTGCCGGTTTGATTCTACCGGTTGACAGGACGAAAAGCGTTTTCGGTCGCCGCGATCATCGTGGCTCGAAGATTTGAAAAGTTAGAACAAGTGTTTGAAACGTATTCGCTGGGATGATTAACGTATCTAACTTGGTTCAACGAGTCAACAGTTCGAGTACTCGACTTACTGTCTAGTTTCACAGATTGACTACGGCGAATCTTGTCGCTCTCTGAAACATCTGTTACCACGCCACACCTCAAAGACAGTCGCATACATACACGTGTATCTGCTCTAAAATCGAATCTAAAGTCATACAATCTGATCTTGGTTTCTCTCCTTAGATCGAAGTTTAACTTGTTCTTCTCTCCCTGAATAGAATAAACGACAAGCGAGACTCTTAGAGTTAGCTGCACTGCGAGGCACTTGGAGCTATTCTGACGACAGTAAATACATATAACGATGATCAGAGATCCATACATATTGACGGAAGTGGATTCTCGCATAGTCTCTTGACGACTTGCACTCACTTTTTACAAGTAGTCGTAGTTACCAGTGAAATAGAAGGGAATCAGGAAGAGTGGTTCGGGATCGGGAAGCGCCGTATTTATGGGGGTCATTACAGGCTTTACACCCGACGAAGCACGAGAAACGAGCGGCGTAAGCGTCGCGAACGGGTAACAAGGTAGACGTCGTCGTCGTGTTCGAGGTTGCGTCCTGTTGGCAGGCTGCCGACGAATTGCAGCCGTGCCGAGAGTTCTAGCAGCGGATCGGGAAACAAAATGCGCCCACGACACGACTTTTGTTGGAACCGATACCAACGGTCAACGACGAGAGATCTGGCACGCGATCCGCTTTCCGCGTCGCGTTACCGCCTCGTCAAATCACGTTTGCCGTAATCACGAGACCGTTCGCTCTATTTTACAAGTACATACTCGTGTCTATATACACGCGGTGGGGAAACGTATAATTTCCAATCGTTGTTCGCTTCGAGATCGGCACAAGCGACAGAGTCTGAAATCCTACCGATGACTCGGAACGAAAAGGGTCGAGCTTTCTGAGATATTTCGAAGGCTTGATCGTTAAATGTGCACGTATTTAAACGAGAACGTGAAACGCAATTAGTTTCGCTCCTCCTGTTGCGAGCGATATGGCAGTCGTGGCACGACGCGTTCGACGTAGCTTGCACTTCTCTGACGGAACGAGATCAAAGAACAATCGCAAACTATCAAACAACTATTTGTCGCAAGGTAGTGTATACGAAATTCTGCATTAGAGGTACGAGGAAAAATGGGCGTATGGTGATGAGGTGAAGGAGCAGAGGGGAGGGAATGATGCTACCTTGCCGAGAGAAAAAGGGACCATGCTATTTCCTTCTTTTCCCTTGCTTCGCAACGCGAAAGAGTGGGTAGTGACACAAACGAAACGTCCCTCCGTTCGTACTACCTATCTACTTTATAAAGGGGTACAGACATAATGGTATCCGAAAAACGATCAGTCCGTCGCGGATTTATTTTCTACTTTCGTTACTCGTTCCCATCCACGGCTCCCGCGCGGTTTTAATTAGTAATCAAGTGTCGATAGACTCATTAAACTTGGTTATTGGCTATTGAAATTTTTATCTAGCGCGCGGTGTTTTCGTTTATTTATAGGAATTCCAATATTATCGGGTCAAGATAGGTCCGTTAACGAATTGGAAGCTGTTGCGTCGCAATTCTCTTCTATTTTTTTCTTATAAAAGATTCATCGGTGAGAACCGCGCGGATGGAACCGTTTGTCCCGCGCGAAACATGGTGCGGAATATTAAACAATGGCATTGAACGGCTCACGGAAAATTGGACCACGAATTCCTTTTGTTCGATAGGTCAGAGAAAGTATAGTATATCGTCGATAATTACACTCGACTTTCCGTACCGCCCCGAGGTTCGTGTTGTCACGAGGGCTTTTTTCTCTTCCACCATTTTCCAGACATCATCTGCTACGTATACCCACGCCCCCGTTGCCCTTTCTTTCTCGCCGTCAGACAGCATATTTACAGAGCAGTTTTTCGGGGCCACACCAATTTATCACCACAGACACCGACGTTTCTAATTAGAAAACAGGCAAAGGTTCGTTTCTGTACGTCGTCTCTGCCCGCGGACACGGACGCTCGCTTATTAACCATTGTTACGCGATCGTAACCCCGTCCAAAACAAGTCACGCGAAAAGAAAGGAGGACCAGCCTCTGTGTGTCAGCTCTGTCAGGTGTCACGCCAACATTTTTCCCGCCGTATTTTCGGTTTCTCAACGAACGAATATGGAACCAGAAGAGTAACCGACTTTCAAACAGAAAACAATTGTCTATCACGAGGTGCATAGACGGAGTAGGTGAAGCCTGGGAAACATCCCGTCGGTAGAAAGAGAAAAAAAATGAGTCGCCCCTCTTTATCTTTGCTCGCAACATCCTTTTAATTACGCGGCGTTAGGCAAACACGAAGAACGCCTGCTCGTCCACTATGGAAGCACTCATCTTTCTTTTTCCACCGACTTGCCTGCTCTATTTGTAATGTCTCTATGGTCGTGTGGGATCAGAGATCGACTGATCAATCGGTCAGCCACTTTGTTGAACGATATTCTCCTCTTATTGCATTAAATATTTGTGATTGACTTTGATGCGTTCGGTGTTTGCAAGTACTTTCTGAATTGAGTAGTACCGAGCCTATCCCGCATCCCGTATTTAAAAAATCTGTGTCCCGAGAACCTAATTACCAAATCTCTTTCGGTCTCTGTGTGATGTATACCTCGGTTCGACAGACCCCGTCACAGCACTTGGCCTTTAGACATTCCGTTTCTCTGTGGTTCCGTTACTGTGGTGAACCTACTGCCGTGTACCTTTTTTTTCTAACAAGAGCACATCAGTTATTCCCGATGACTGAAACAGACGACCAGCCCGTTGAAAACCTTTGTGCGCGCGTACACCAGAGAATTTTCAATAAAATTCCCGATCGAATAAAGAGTAAATAAAAAACTATACGCAGCGAACGATCTACCCCGTCTTTTCCCCCGATTATCTGAGATTTATCCGTAATATACGGCCTACTCGTCGACCCATAGGAGACGAAACGGAACAGCTAATCAGGGAAGCGAACGAATTTTTGTGAAAATGAAACTAAAATAAAAACTATTCCAGTAGAGTATTGTAAGACCCGAAAAAAATGTTATTGACTAAAAGGGAGCTCTATTGTTTTTGCCCTTAGATGGGCCGGCCATTGTCCGGGTAAACCTGTTTGTGCGAAGCATTACGACAATTAGTGACATCAAGATGGTAAGTATAAATTAAACCAATCCAAAAATCTTTACAATGCGCGGTGCAATGCCATTTCTCTCTTGGCGGGTACTGTTTCCTTCTTTTTCTGTTGCTTGCAATAATAAAAAGTAGGCGCAAACGTAGGTTTTAGAGCCTCGGTAACAAATCGATTTGATCAGAGAGAAAGGAAAGGGCCGAAGAGAGGAGGAGAGAATTTTTGTTGAGACAAGGCCTCAGCACCAACGAGAACGGCAACAACAGCAATAGCAGCAAGCTAGCATCTTGTCCCTTCTCCGTTTACCACACATACTTTATTGTTATATCAACCACCTATCCGTCTTCTACTTTGCCAGTGATACCAGATTCAACGGGAATTTTTATGAAAACGTTTTAATCAATTCCGTTCGGGATCTCCTGTACAGATTTTGTCCGAGCTTCGTTGCAATACCGATCATCGAATGGAACGATGAACGGAGTGGATCATGTCGGTCGACGGTTCACAATAGAAGACGCGTCCCTGAATAAAGTCAATAGTGGAAATCGAGATGTCAAATCTTTTTCTCGGTGGAACGGTAGTGCGGTTGAGAAATCTGTGGATCGTTTCCGTAAAATGAATCCTTCGATCTGGGAACACTGTCTCGCAATGCTCATCACATAGAACCCGTTTGTAGATTCTAATTAAAAGTCTGTCTGTACCCATCGAACTCGTTTCTATACTTTGTTAATCCTCCCGGACTCACCCCAAACCACCCCCAGCCGCCCCCTCTCTGTCACACCCAACCAAGATATATATATATACATATATATATATACATGACTTTCCTTAATTTAGAATTATATTACCAATTACATCACACGAACCAAATTAGCATCTCTAGCATAGATATTACAGGCATGCGGCATTCTATTAGCTTCCATGTTCCACGTATGTACATACACGTTTGTATAACGCCACATAGGAAGCACAAATCGGGGAGTCGAAGCAGAGGGGGCCGAGAAGAGAACTGTGGGAGAGAAATGGAAGCGAAATTTGGGAACGAGGGGAGGGACACGAAAAGAGTAGTGAAAAGGGAATGAGCGAAGGCGTGTCAAACGAAAACGATATAAACCGTTGGTCACGTACACCTTTCAAACGTGCCTAAGTCACCCTCAGATATTTCATTCCCCGTTTCTGCAAACGCTAGTTACCTCACCTAGTGCTTGACGTCTCAGTGACATTATCCGCTACTACGTTGATTAACTGCGCTCTTAAACAGAGAAATTCGTTAACGTCTGTTTACTTGTTCTACCTTTTCAAGGTGTCAGACGATGTGAGTACCGAGGGTCGAATCGTCTCGTGCTTCACCAGCGCGTTCCTCGTTCTAGTCTCGGCGTCGTTCATAGGTGGTCAGGGTACACGTCAGGGGTCAAGTCGTTTCACGTAGTTTCATGGGCGACGATGCAAAGTCGCGTTGGGAATTTTTGCATGCTTTCCCT